AGGCCAGTCTCTGACATGGCCACTGAATGGGTTCTATCATCTGTTTTTTTGATGGATGGGAACATTCCTGAACTTTTCCAGTCCATTTCACCCAGGAGAAATGAGCTTGGAATATTTATTTTATATTAAAGTCCACAAAAGGTGATTAAGCAAAGTTCATGACTGTCCATTAAAATGCACAAATGTTCTATTAAAGAAGAGAAGCCCCAAATGAGATCTTTATGGGCATGCATATTCATGAAATGCTGCCCAATTCTAGATTTTCCCACATGCAGTTATTACATTCACCTTCAGTCCCCTGTTTTATAGCACCTAATGCAGTGTTTCCTCCATTCGCATTCAATGTATTTTTTTTCAGAGTGAATGGAGGGATTTGCAGAATCAGCAGTTCATCCTCAAACTCAAACCAATGATTTTAACAGAGATATTTTATTTTTGTTAATGGGTGATTTTCCTGTGGTTTTATGTTGGATATCATCCTCTCCCTTGGATATTTTCCTGACTCTTATAATGCCTAGTTCAATGTCAAATATTTTGAAGTGCCTGTGAATAATAAATATGCAAACTTACATACACACTTTAAAAATGTATGATTACATTAAACCAAGTGTCCTTAAACTTTAATATATTTTAATGTGAATAGTCAGACATTATTTCCTAAATAGAAATCTTTGAATACCCCAAATTTAATGAATTGTTGAAAGAAATGCTGAGGTATATACAGGCAGAATGTTAATATATTGGGGTACATTCATTTTTTAAAAAAATCAATCTGGAAATTGGTGGTACGCAGCATACCGACTGATATTGTCATATAACTCAACTAGTTGTACAACTATCTAATGATATATAGACAACATCCAATTACCAACTTAAAATTAAAAGCCTTAGCCTATAGGTAGAAATTTTTTTTATTAAACAATTGTTTTATTTAATTTTTTACTGAACTGAAAGCTTTAGCATGATGTAGCATTAATTAGAGTGAACTCAGCCTATGAGTTTGATTTTAATTCTAACTTTAATTTGAAAATGTGGTAATACTTCTTAAAGTTGTATCTTAATTTCTTTCTATTCCTAAGTAGCTGGTTATTCAGTCAATCAACAGATGTTAATTAAGCACCAGTGGTGTGTAGCAATGCTATAGGTACTTGGGGGAAAACAATTATAAAATATGGATTCGGACCTCAACAACCATATCATCTAATTCAAGTGAATGGCCAGCACTCATAAAACAAGCAGAGATACTGAGATTCCCAGAATAGAGGTGGTTGAGTGATACACATAAAAAATGTTGAAAAGATCCCTGGCCAGTGTGGCTCAGTTGGTTGGAGTGTCATCCTGTGTACCAAAAGGTGGCAGGTTCACTTCTCCAGGTTGCCAGTTCTATCCTCCATGGTTCTATCCCCTGTCAAAGGCTCATGTGGGAAGCAACTGATCAATGTTTCTCTCTCACATAGATGTTTCTCTCTTTCTCTGTCTCCCTTCCTCTCTCTGAAATCAATTTTTAAAAAATGTTGAAAACATTCAGAAAGAAATTATATGAAAATTAGAGAAGATGAAAAATATATAACCCTTCCTTCATTTATCCATTCATTCATTCTTTCTTTCTTTTATTTATCACCTATGAACCTGAGAATAAAAGGATTAATGAATAATAGTCATTTCCCTCATAGAGCCCTCTGTCTATCAGACAGCAAAAATGCAGAAGAGGGTAGCATGAATAGTTCTTGGAAGTGGTGAGACTTGAAAAGGTTAGTATTTGGGTTGATGGAAGAGAAGGAAGAAGGTAACCGAAGCATAAAAAGCAGCATGTGTCCAGACAGAAATATAAGTTCCTCCAAGGTTTCCTTCATGTCTCCAATGATCAGCACTGAACAGGCAAGCAGCAGGTGCCCAGAAAATATATGTTAAGCTATTTAATAGGATGCTGCTAGGAGACCAAGACGACTGACCTGGTAAAGTTTTCATTGTGAAGAGTAACAAGAAATAAGGAGAATTTTCTAGGTTGACTCACCAGAGAGGTGACACTTGGCTGAGAGAAGAATGAAGATTCACTGTAATGCTTAGCCTGCTTTTGACCAGAGGACTGATGACTTGAGCATGCTGATCAATGAAGATAAATGTGGCACTCATGTGTAGACCTGTTTGTGTGATAGCTGATATATAGGTCTGGGTCCAAACCACGGGAATGTAGAGAGATCAATACCAGAGAAGCTGGCTGCTTATCTGAGTTCACTGTGACTAGGGGCTGAATTTGGGGATAAGACCAGCAGTGTGGTTATTGGAAAGGAAGGTCAAGGATGTTTACATAAGTAAATAAGTGAAGTTAAGCAGGAGGATCCATAGGAAGCAAACATCAGGAAATCTCACTTAATTCTGATGGATGGCAAATGTATGCCCCTTTTTAGTGGACATGGTGTGTGTGTATGTGTGTGTATTACATAGCTTGAGGCATACATGTGCCAGTTTGTGCCATGGAGTATTTTAAGTACAACTCATTTCATCTAGCAGTCTCTATAAACTTAGGATCAGAGGAAAGAACTATCAAGCTATTAAAATAAGACAAGTTGGCAATGTTGAGTTAGGCCAGTATAGTGCAAATTGCATTCAATCAAGGATACACTGAAGCTTCTTTTTAAAGAAGGATATTGGCCCTGTTAATCTATATGCTTGTTCTAATCAAAGTCCTTAGAAATTGGTAATGACAAGTGGGAAATTGTACATGGAGATATAGATATGCCAGGGCTGCTTTGGACTCCCCATGCCAGCTCTGGTTTAGTTTTCACATTCTTGCTGATAAAAAAAAAAAATTAGATCTAGAAAAGTTGATCACTTAAGCAATGCTGAACTTCTCCCTCCCTCCCTCCCTGCCTCCCTCCCTTCCTCCCTCCCTCTCTCTCTTCCTTTCTTCCAGGCCCTGTGCAATAAATATATTGAAGACACAGGTCCCAAATAAGCCATAATCTGATATTAGAGACAGAAGTGCATACCAAATCAAAAACTTTAATATACTATTTAGATGCCATAAAAGAGAAGGAAGCATGACCTGCAAAGTTCAGAGTTCTCTCACTATGAGCTAGGTAGGATGTTCTCCCCAAAGGGAAAAGAATAGAATGAGTCTACTCAGGGTCTACTGCTGAGTGTATCTTCAATAGATTATCTGATTATGCATGAACTGTGCATAAGAAACTGCTCCATTTCTCACCCCCAACAAACACTCTCCCAGCTCATGTGAGAGCATGACTTAAATGTTTTTCCTACTGTTTGCCATATAACCCCTTACTACGTATATTGTTGTTGGTCTTGATTGATGAACTGCTTCACTCTGTTCCTCGTGCCAATAAAGATCTCTCTAATGACTGCAAAGGCTACTTTTCCTATCAATGGAATCCTATCATGGGAGATATAAGTAAAGGAAGAATAGTAGCATATAGGTATAAAATGTAAAATTATCCTTTTAAATCATCTTCTGTTCAGGCTTTTCAGAGATGTGATTAAGATAAATTGACCCATCCCTTGCATTACTTTACATAAACATCTGTAATACTTTCAACAATAAAGATAAATTTAAAAAATAAAAGAGGAAGAAAGGCAGCATTCAGCCCTGGACAGGTGGCTCAACTGGTTGGAGCATCATCCCATACATCAAAAGGTTGTGGGTTTGATTCCCAGTCGGGGTACATACCTAGTTTGCAGGTTCCATCCCTAGGTGGGGCAAATACGATGTTTCTCTCTCTCATTCCCATTCCCTTCCTCTTTCTTTAAAATCAAGAAAACATATCCTCAGATAAAGATCAAAAGGAAGGAAGGAAGGAAGGAAGGAAGGAAGGAAGGAAGGAAGGAAGGAAGGAAGGAAGGAAGGAAGGAAGGAAGGAAGGGGAGCAGCATGCAATATTGCTTGCTTTTTAATTAAAATGCAGTTTCTCCCAACATGGACAACAAGAAGAGAGCTGACCCCTAGCTAGTTTGTCTCAGTGGATAGAGTGTCAGCCTGCAGACTGAAGAGTCCCCCGTTCAATTCCAGTCAAGGGCACGTACCTTGATTACAGGCTCCTGCCTGGCCCGAGCCCTGGTCAGGGCTCCTGTAGGAAGCAGCCAATCAATGCGTTTCTCTCACATCGCTATTTCTCTCTATCTTCCCCTCTCTCTTCCACTCTCTCTAAAAAGCAATGGAAAAATATCCTTGGCTGAGGATTAAAAATAAAAAGAAGAAGAAGAGAGCTGAAAATGTATCTCACATACAAAGCCAATCTGGAAAATGAAGAGCAATCCTCTCCTCCCTTTTTCCTCAATAGCAGAGTTCATTCCCATTAGCTGGAGACCATACTTTAAGAACTTCCATTTCCTGGAGAAGTCACATTAATAGAGACAGAAAGTACAATGATGGCTGCAAGGGACTGAAGGAGGAAAGAGTTCATGTTTAAAGGGTACAGAGTTTTAATTGGGCAAGATGCAAAAGTTCTGGAGATGGATGGTGGTGATAGTCACACAACAATGTACTTAATGCCACTGAACTGTACACTTTAAATTGTAAAAATGGTAAACTTTGTGTATGTATTATAAAAATATAAAAAGAAAAATGGGAATTTCTAATGTAAGTGGTGAGCATTCTTTAAAAATATTGCTGTGTCTTTGCTTTCTTACTAAGTATTGATAAGGAAAATTATAAGAAAATGATAATATATATCCAGTTTAAAATTTCATACTTTGAGCTCAATTATGGATTAACGTTGTATGATAATTTATCATTGCTTTATGACAGAGAAAAAGAATCATCTAAATAAAAAGATTTATAACACTTAAAATTTTGCTTTATTAAGAGAGAATGTATTTCTTGTGTATCCATGGTCTGGCCAAATTAATGAGGGTATTAGAGCTAGTCACTCAGTCTGCATGGTCATGATGGTTTCTCTTCTTGCTTCTCTAAAATGGGTGCATCAGATTTTGTCTTATCTTGTTTTTGTAATAAAAATGTGTATTGATACTCATGCTCTTTTCAGGATAGGGTGTGGGCCAACGTGGGGAAGAGCCTGAACTGCATTATTGCTATGGTGGACAAACTGATTGAAAGTGATGGTGGTAGTGAAGACAGCGGTGGCAGCAGAGATGGAGAGCAGGACCTTTCTGTCGTGGACTCCATTAAAACTCATCCAAGGGGTAAGGAATCTTTTTTCTCCAATTATTGACTGAGTAAACAAAATGAGAAAGTCAAGATAAAATGAGACAGAAAGAGAAGAGTCAATAGTGCCTTTGATGAAAGTGCTGATAGCACGCTTTTCCACATCTCTGGCTTGGATGATGGAAGGCTACTTATCAAATTGCATCTCAGTTGCGTTTTCAGAACTGCTTGCAATGCTCAATTTTATTTTATTTTTTTTTGGCTACATAACAACCTTGTCAAAGAAGAACAGTGTTTTCTTTTAAAGAATCCGACATAGTTTAATCTACTTTTATGCATTCCTACAAAATTTTATTAGGAAGAAAAACAAGCATCTGATCCTAAAACTCTTAGAAACTTTGAGGGATATCAGGACACAGTATCTCATAATTGTTCCTGAAAAGAATGCAGTATGATAGATGAAATGCTTTTTGCCTCATTCTGAGGGATATTTTTTGTGAATAATTTCAGAAAGATATAAGAAGGTCTGATTCCATATAAGAATAATATGTTTGTGCATTATTCCAAAGACATATTAGTAAGTCTAGATTTTTGTGGATACATGTACACGCACATACACACACATACATATATATGCATACACATGTGGGTATGTAATGTGTGTGTCTATAGATAGACAGGTATATAGATAAATAATTTGAAATCTATGGCTTATTAGTAGGTTGACTAGCAAATATAATAATCAAAGTTTCAAATGTAGTTTTGTCCCTATAAATGGCTTTTTTATTTAAATATTTTAGGTAATTTGATTAATTTTGACAACAAAAAACAAGACAAACATCTATGGGGGGCGGGGGGGTTATGGTAATAAGAACTGCTGTGAGAGTTGCCCCAGCCCTTTTCCTAGATGTGTTAAGTGTTTGGAGAGAATAAACAATGTTGCCCTACCCTCTTCTTCTGCAATCTGCTTTTCCTCTCACTTCAAGAAAATGAGCTATAAGAAAATATGGGTGCTTACAATATTGCATTTGTTTTTCCAATTTGTTTTCCTGATTTTTCATTAGTCCCATTTTCATCAGGGGTTTAATTATGTGAAACATCAGTCTTTCAATTTTTTTTTTTTTATTGTAGATGATCCTCATCTGCTATGTACATTGACATAGGTGGATAGTTTACACTAATGTTCTTTATGTTCAGACCTCCCTGGTTTAACTGTAATGGGGATTTTCTTTTTTTAATAATATCAGTTTCATTAGCTAATACATCTAGTCCAGTTCTACAACTTTACATGAATCAGAATGAAAGCTTGTCATAATTCATATGATAAAGAAAATCATATATTTTTATTTTCTTTAATTGAACATTTCTTGACTATTAACTATGAGCCAGACACTGTGCTCTAGAAAATGAGGTAAGGAAGCAGAATCCATTTTAGTGACTTGTTCTGCCCCTTGATGGGTTTTCAAGGCATAAGATTAATTTCTCAAATAGCCCAAAATTTATACCCAGCTCATACCTGGAGTAGGAAAGTCATTTAATTCATTTTTTCTTACAATTAATTGATGTAGAGTCAGTGAATGATCTAGAATTTTTTAGAATGTATGATATGGTACATACTGATGGGCATTTGTTACATCATTTATTAGTGATTTGTTTCCTCATGTAGGTTTTGTTTTGTGTTTTTTTTATATATGAAGTTAAGTAAATGTTTTTACTCAGTTTCTGGAATTTTTCTTCTGTTAATTTATGTTTGATTTGGGATACATTTTGAAATCTCATAGGGTAAGTCACCCCTTTGACAGTCAGTTTTTCTTTCTTCATCACCAGCCTTTATTTTTACATTTTAGCTATAATTTGTGTTGGATTTGCTAGTGTATAGCTAACATGGTCAAACCGACAGTATTCTGAATTGTTACTACCTTTATCCATGTTTTATGTTCCTCTTTAACCTGCAATTTTCTTTTAAAGTTTTAGATTTTCCTTTTACAGTGTACTTAATAGTGTTTTAAATATGTGGTTTTGAAGGGTTTTCATTTGTTTTAGGTCCAGGATTTTGCCATATGTCTTACTCACTTCATACACTTCTTTTCAGGATTAATGCCAATAGTGCTGAAAGAAGTAAAAGCTTCTCTCTTGTTCTCAACACAAATAATAGAGCAACTGGTCCCAACATTCATGGTCATATGTATTTACATGTTTTCTTTATGAACAAGATGGTCCTTTTAGTTTTTATACACTTAAAACATTCTTATAAGCATCTATTGTATGCATAATACCACATGACTTCAATTTCATAATAAAGTAAGGACTCAAGGATAAAATCAGAAAATATTAGAATCTTAGACTACGGTGTGCCCTTAAAGAGTCTGTAATTAGCTCTGCCAGTGAGGCTTTGTGGTTGAGCATTGACCTATGAACCAGCAGGTCACAGTTCTATTCCCAGACAGGGCACATGCCTGGCTTTGGGCTCTATCCTCAGTAGGGGCTATACAGGAAGCAGCCAATCAATAATTCTCTTTCTTTTTTATTAAATATATTTTATTGATTTTTTACAGAGAGGAAGGGAGAGGGATAGAGAGTTAGAAACATCGATGAGAGAGAAACATCGATCAGCTGCCTCCTGCACACTCCCTACTGGGGATGTGCCCACAACCAAGGTACATGCCCTTGACCGGAATTGAACCTGGGACCCTTGAGTCCGCAGGCCGATGCTCTATCCACTGAGCCAAACTGGTTAGGACAATAATTCTCTTTCATCAATGATGTTTCTATCTCTATCCCTCTTCTTTCCTCTCATAAATCAATAAAAATATATTTTTTAAAAAATATTCTGTAATTAAACCTCCTAAATTATGCTAAGAAGCTTACCTACAGTGTCTCTGCCAATTCTCACCTAACCTGTGATACACATCTCCACTGGTAGAAAACCATTTTTATTTTTTTTGAGTGGCAGATTCCAGATGATTGAAATGTGTTTCCTTTCACTTTACCCACTGGCCCAGATCTAATCCTCTGCCCCAAACAGGACAAATTTACTCCCCTTTTTCCACATTATCACATAACATATCATAAAGGGATCTTCATGTCCATTTTTAAATTGCCACTTTTGGGGGTCATTTTTCAAAGCAATAGCATGGAACACAGTGACACAGGAACACTACCTCCTTCCTTTGGGATACAATTCTATCAATGATATCTTAACTCACATTAGCTAGTTTGACCACCACATTTTACTATGAAGTCCACTTATATCCATAAATCTTGCTAAATTTGACCTATCTCTCAGGCTTCTCTAGATTCAAGTAATATTTAAGCACCCTGTGTATTAGAAATTGTGAAGTATTAGGGGCACAAGGAGATCAAGACACAGTCTATCTCAATTCTACTGAAAAGATTGATCTCTAAACCCATGACTGCAGCATAATACACTTTTCAGTACACTCTAATAAATACCTATTTCTTTCATCCATCATATCTACTGTCCTATCTAGGTTTATTTTATTCACATTTTATAAATATTTTCTGTCCATTCACAGAAGTAATAGATAAAAATGATGGGAAAACAGAGATAAAAACAGCTCTTTGAGGTACATCACTAGGAAAACTGTATGCATTGAAATACACTGATTAATCACTGCTCTTTGGGAATCTGTGTTCAACCATCTGTGTATCCATTCATCTTATTGCATGTCCTGTATTTTTTTTTTTTGTCTTCGAAAGAATATCAAGAAATGCCCCATGGGAAGACCAAATACCATAAGTCATTGAATACTTTTTCCTAATGTATCCAGCCATAAGCCCTGACAACATATGATTTGGCAGGTTATTTTTTAATTCAAGTATAGTTGGGGTACAAAATTATATTCCTTTCAGGTGTATGACATAGTGATTCCACATTTATGTACTTTATGATGTGATCACCGTACTAAGTCTAAAAATCATCTGTCACCACACAGTAATTACAATACTAGGGGCCCCGTGCATGAAGGGTCCCTAGGCCTGGCCGGCAATCAGGGCCGATCGGGGCCTTTCCGTTGCTGGCTGGGGTCTTCCTTCCCCAGCTGCCAGCTGCCAGGGCATTTTTATTCCACGCTGCTCCCTGGTGGTCAGTGCATGTCATAGTGAGCGATCGAACTCCTGGTCTCAGATTGCACTCCTGAGGGGACACTTTGCATATTAGCCTTTTATATAAAGAGATTACAATATTACTAACTATATTTCCTGTACTGTACACTATATCTCCATGGCTTATTTATTTGAATTTGGCACATGTTCTTGATATTATTAAGTGAATATCTTTAACATGTGTGCACATGTATGTATACCAACATGAAAATCATTATATTCCAGAACTTATACTCAAATTAGCAATTATTTCATACATATAACAAATCTGTTTTATTTTTTAAAGTGCAAAGATTCAAGCACAGAGTATCGTTTTTTATCAAAGGGCTTAACTATTAATATTTTTGAATTTCTACACATGAACATTTAGAATTTCATGAGAAAGAAACATGAATGAATCAGGTCCTTTAGAACCCATAGATCAGCAGGTAAAACAACTTTTAAAGTACATTTACAAGTTTTAAAAAACCTTGGTAAAAAGTAAGCAAAAGTGACCATGGATATCTTTATTGTAAACTTAAAATTCCAATGATGATTTATATGATTACATTTTTGAATGTATACTCTTATCAGAAAAATAATGTTTCTCTTAAAATTGTTCAATGAACTATGATGTAACAAAACAACACTTGACTCAGAGCCAAGATACTTGGTGAGTCCACAGTTTACTTATTTGGCTACATGACCTTTGGCAGATCACTTAAATTCTCTGGACCTTCCTTTGTTGGTAAAATAAATATCACCTACAAAATTTTAAAATTGCTTCTAGTTCTAAAGTTTTATGATAATAAAGATGCCACATTATTTAAAGTTACTTTTTTCTTTCCTTTCAGGCATTTAACATATTTTATTTTATTTTTAATTTCTTTATTAAGTTATTACATATGTGTCCTTATCCCCATATTACCCCCCA